GCCAAACAACGGGTCTTTTTTGTATTTTGGTTAAATATATTATACATTTATTTTTTTGGCCCTTCTCTGTAATGTATGCAATTTTTTGACTAACTTTGGGGAGGAGGGGCGTAGTTGGCTTTCAGAGAAGTAAGAGGCCTATATATTTTTGTTTTTCTTTTTTTTTCTTCTATTTTAAAAAGTTTTTTAGTTTTTAATCATTAATTATCTCATGGACTCTTAGAACATTGGTTTGGCTTTCTGCTATCTATCTGCCAGAGGTACTCCTGGATTGATGGTTCCCTAATAGGACCAGAGGTACTCATGGACTGGTGATTTTCTCCCGGAATCCACTAAATAAAGATTTCTCCTTATATTTTCTACCAATATTGATCTTCATCTACATCAGGTGTTACTATTGAACAGAGCACCATTATCGGTTGGTAATTTCTGCCTTTACTGTATTTATCTATTTTTGCTTTACATTTTCATTGAGTTTATTATTAAGTTTCATCTGTATTTTCATTGTTAATTGGTTTTGTATCTTTTGATTCCACTGTAGGCACTGTTTGGTTTTTCCTAAATTCCCTGAAGAAGTGGGTCATATCCCACGAAACGCGTTTGATCTCTTGATTGAGTATCCAGTTTTCTAATTCAATACTAAGGAAAACATTTTGTTATTTCACCTGTTGAATGACGATCAGATTCTCTAGTGGTGTCGGTGGACTCATGCCCGTGATGCTTTTGCGTCCTGGGCCAGAGTATTTTGTCTACTGTTGCCATTGGATTTCTTGAATGATTTTTTTACAGTTCCATATTCAGTCTAATGGAAAAACCTTTTTGTACCTTACTTGTTTAATAACGATCTATTTCTCTAGTGTTATTGGTGAGGCTTCTGGACTCTTTTGCTTTTTTACTGATGAAATAGAGGTGTGGACAGGTGGTGACAGGTGAGACTGAATGTCTCTCCAGGTCCCATCCAATTTTCCTATCTAACAATGATCTCTTTAAAGAGGCATCAGGGGTCTAAAAGATGCTTGATGTCTCACCTGTCTTCCAATACTGTCTGGAAAACTGACAGTAGGATTCACACTTTTTGTACAATGTCAACCTGTGCAACCTTTTGACCTTCCTGAGCCACGATGGAAGAAGAGGAATTGTCTTGGGCCACACATAAAATACAATAAATGTAAGGATAGCTAATGAGTAGAAAAGGTCAGGCAGATCACAAGTTAACCAATCACTGATATAAATAATGTACCTATCTAAGTAATGAAACTTCCGGGGAGAAATTCAGCTACAATTCGCACTGGCCCTAATCATCGGTGTGAAAGAAGCCTATGTATGTGCTGTGTGGGGAGGTAGAGGGGGGGGGGGCTGTGGGGTGCAGGGCACATCTGAGATCTGGGGAGGGGCGCAGCTCACCCCAGCACCCCCTAGATCCTGCTATGCAGAATTTACTCACCTGACACCCATATATTCCTCGTAGCTGGTGCTATTGCGAACATTGCAGCCCCGGCATCCCTCCAGATATGCATTTGCCTGGCTTGTGAAGGCTGCCACAATGGCTATGCTTGCATGGCATCCCCGGCTTCTCTACAGATGTGAATTTGCCAAGCTTGTCTGTATTGGCCTCTGTGGCTGCTGTGCTTGTGCAGCATCTCCCACATCCCTACATATGTGAATTTCCCTAGCTTGTCTGTGTCGGCTGCTGTGCTTGCATGGCATCCTTGGTGTCCCTCGAGATGTTCTTGGGCCACATGCCAAACTCTGTGGGGTCGCAGGTGGCAGGGGTCTTTGGATGGTGTCCCCCATGTTTTCTTCCTTGTTGGATGCTAAGCAAGGGTCAAATGAGAGGCCTACCCCGGGGTGGGTACTTCTAGGATACGCTAGGCCCTTTGGTTAGTTTTACTGTCTTGCACAGGGTTACCCTTACTTTGAACAGACAGATGAACCCCATTAAACTCCTTTGATATACTTTACACCTCTACGGTTACTTGTGCAATTAGGAGGGACACCCAGAGTCCTTGTCTTCTCCATCTGTCCAGCATATCACTGCTACTTCACTCCCAGTAACGGTATGATATCCTGCCATGTACCTAGTGGACTTCATGCATGCACTTCACTTAACTCTCTTCTATATCTGGGTAAAAGATGAGGGCCCCGGCAGGGCAGATCTGCTCCCAGTGCTATGGGAGACAGATTGCTGCTGAAGGAGTGCAGACATCTCCCATGCTGCAAGAGGCTATCTCACCTACCTCATGTACACGGTTAACGGCAGGCTGCTAGATACATCTTTGTCATCCTTTGTAATAACAAAGGGGTGTTGGAGCAAAGGTGGGTCACTCATATGGCGCAATTCAAGTACAAGATCCACTACAGACCTTGAAAACTCAATGGGCACGCCGATACTCTGTCCCGATATCTGGTGGAACTCCCAGGAGAAGATGTGGGCTCCTGCCAAGAAGACATCGATGTAACCCACATTCTACCCACACGAACACCTCATGTTTGCTAAAAGAACTGGGAGCGGCTCCCCAGGTGGAGAAATCTTCAGCCGAGAGGAAAGGGCGCTGATTCAAGAGAGGAATTCAGACCTTATGCAGGTGCAGCACTTCTTCTCTTGAATGCCAGAGAGTGTCTAACACAGCTCAAGCAATCCTGAGGAAATGGGATTGACTCGAGATGTGGGACAATGTGCGCTAGGTGCGCATTCCTACTGAGCAGTGGGACATCCTACAAATTGTGCTCCCCCCAGTCAAAACATTCTCCAATTCTGCAGAGTACTACACAACATGAGTGGATACTTCAGGACAGATAAAGGAGTCTTTGGTAAGGAGATACCTCTTCTGGCCCTGGCTGTAAGAATGAGTCCACAAGGTCTGCAGAGAGTGCATGACTTGTTCTGTACATAAGTCCCCGCACAAAAGAACCATGGACTTTTTTAACAATCTCCAGCTCACCCTCAGGGTCCCGTTAAGCCCTAGTTTTTGTTGACCACTTTACCAAGTTTGCAAGGATAGTCCCCACCTAGGATATGATGGCCCCAACCACAGCTAAACTGTTTTGGGAGCATGTGGCCCAGGCCTACGGTTGCCCCAAATAGATACTCTCAGAGCAAGGCCCAAATATTCAAGTCAGTGATTACGTCCAAGCTGTGCCGCCTCAGTGGGATCAGGAAGTCACACACCACACCACTAGGATCATGGAGCTTGGGAGCGGTTCAACCGCACCCTGCTGGAGATGCTACAGACTCTCAAACAATGGCACCAAGAAAGATAGCACTAATATGTGGGGGCAGTGGGTGCAACAATACCATGCTCCGGGCTACTGGTCACATGCCCTTCTTTCTGATGTTTGGGTGCTATGGCTGGCTTCCAGTGGATCTCCTACTGAGGTCCCCTGAAGATGTGACATCCTGAACACCTAGCACCTGGGTGTAGGAGCACTGGGATAGGATACAGAAAGCCAAACTAGATAGGCACAAGGACATTGCTGAGGACTTTGTCCTAGAGAAATCTGCTATTGCGACCGGAGGTTGGGTGATCAAGTGTTAGTGAAAAATATCAAGAACCAGCGAGGCACTAATCTGGAGACCAAGTAGGAAATTACTCCATATCGTGTTGAACAAAAACCCTTCCCTCCAAATCCAATGTATGATGTAATCTCGGAAGGACCTAACCCTGTCAAAAGACATCTCCATTGCGACCTGCTAAGTCCCTGTGTGCTAAATGGTGACTGTTCCACCAAACCAGCAGAAGATCAGGATTGAGTGATCCTGTAGATGTCCCACTGGTGCAGGAAGTCATTGTTGAATTGTACCCGACTCCTATCCTGCTTGAGCCTCTGACCTGGAAGCAGGAAACCTCAGTACAGCAACTATGGATAGTTCACCAACCCCTGAATGTTCCACAGACTGCTCAGAATCAACTGAGGATCCAGATATGAGCCTAGGTGACAGGGATATGAAGGGCCCAATTGACCCCCATCCACCTGCTGCCTCAGAGTCCCAGCCAGGACAGGATTACCTGCATACTAACTCCCTAGAGGGTTCATCGGTCTTTGCGGTTTAACTGTGACCAGTTTCCTGCAAGATACTCTGATTATGTTGTTTGAACCTGTTGTGCTTTAATTATGTTCAGTGCACTTTTCTTGTTGCTACTTACTGTACTGCGATGCTGAGGGCAGCATCTGCCAAACAAGGGAGGAGTGTAAGCAGGTGCAGTCTACTATCCCCACTGAAGGTGGCGCTCTTCTGCAGTGGCATTGCAGGAGGAGAGGAAGTCAGGAGTAACAAAGCTTCACCAGTTACCCAGGAAATCATAGAGGAGCTATCTGATTGGATGCTGTGACTCTAGCTGCCATTTTGGGTCAGACATAGCATATTTAAGGCCCTGGCTCTCAGGCTTGGTGTGCATTTCGTGTGTGGATAGTGTAGGGTCAGGTCACAAGTCTGGCAGGGATGGTGATTAGCATCAGGGATAGGTTTCAGTCGAGCAGGGAAAGTACAGAAGCACACCATTATTCTAGAGACCTCCTCATTTGGGCTTGGACCGGCCAGGCTGCATTATGCCCCTCAAAACCGACACTGTTGGCACATCTGAGACCTGCTCTGCTACACATTGCTGATATTGCCTTCAGTGTTCCTGGGCAGGTGCCCTATCAATGGGTTTGTTGTGAAATACTGGATTCTGCAGTAATACAAGTTCTGTTCCCTGCAATCGGTGTTTACTGCCTCAGCACCAGACTGCACCTCCTCACAAGTGGTATTCTGTGGTTATCCTGTGTATGGAGATATCAACGTCTCTACACATGGATGACCATATTGGGGTGTCTACTCCATTATGTAATTTTTTCTTATAAAATTCTATTTACTGGAGTTTTATAAAGTGATCTAATATAAATGATTCCAATAAAGTGAAAAGAGTTCCATTCATTTAGAGAATAGATAATATCATTCAGGAGGGGATGGGGGTACGGAATTCATTTTATTCTGGTAACATTCTTCTCTTCTTCTACAGATTGAATAGAAATAAGCTGACAGACAATTCCTGCCCCTACCTGGCTTCTGGAATAAGAAACAACCAGACACTGAGGATACTGTACCTGTCTTTGAACATCCTGGAGGGTCCTCATTTCAGTGATCTGATGGCAGCTCTGACAACAAGCCGGATAGAGGAATTACAGTGAGTGTAACTGGACTGACTGAGACAATAATATTCTGGGACAGTATGATGTTTAACCTTTTTGTTGCCAGAGAACAGTGGTGATCAAATATCACCAAAGGAAAGCTCTATTTGTGTAAAATAAAAATGATAAAAATTTAATTTGGGTACAATGTTGCATGATTGCGAAATTGTCATTTAAAGTGCAACAGTGCTGAAAGTTGAAAATTTATCTCCTTGGGGGGGACTTGAAGTGATTAAAGCTGACTCTGAGACAGCACTATCATTATTAATGCTTTCTGTGTTACTCCTATATCATCTGCCAGTTATATCGGTTCATCATCTGGACGTGCATCTAGTGCTGTGAAAAGCACTTCATGACTTTTTGGTGTACCACTATGTAATAGTCCTGTGACATGAAAGTTTTTTATTTCTTCTCCTATACCTTTCAGGCATTCAACCATTTCCAGGGTGTGCCTTATGTAATCCTGCATATCCTGACCTTTCATCAGCTTGGTTTGGTATAGTTTTCTAATCAAATACAGTTTATTGCTAAGATTAGTGCTTTCATGCACTTTTTGTAATTCTTTTCACATTTCTTTAGCAATTTCACACTTACATATATGTATGATTTGATCATCTTCTATGCTTAGTGAGATTTTGCTATGTGCTTTCTAAAGTTCCTCTATCCACTCATCTGAAGGGGGTTTTGGTCTGACTTCATTTATACATTTCCACATACCTTCTCTTATTAGCACCATTTTCATCTTGAATTTCCAAGCTTGGTAGTTCTGGTTTGTCAGGTTTGCAAATGAAAGCTTTGTTGCACCTTTGTTTCAGTCCATTTTCTGTTATTGTTTTGCAGTCTCCTTTCTGTTGATGTATCTTCACTTCTTTTGCTGTAACTGACTATGACTGGGGGTGACTGGGTGGGTGTCTGGGCCCATATCCTTTTACAAATTCTGTATATAGCCCTACAGAACAGACAGCGCACAGTCCACATATGTGTTTATCGGCTGCTTCTCTGCTAACAGGAAACAGGAATTTTTTATTCAAGAAGAAAACAAAGTATAGTCATTGATGCAGCTAAAATCTTATAAGCACTGTCATCTACTGGTTGATGTAGTTATTGCGCAAAGTACATGAACAATGTATTCCAACAAAAACCGCCAAAACATTCTAAATTTTCTGAAAGCAGACACCCTATAAAATATAATAGTGGTAGTTCTGAAAGCATACATTATATTAGAAAATATAATAGTGGTAGTTCAGATTGTCTATGTCACATGCCATTAGCGGAATAGTTTATGAAACACAAAATTTCAGTTAACCTCCTTAGCAGTCTGATTATTTCAGATTTTTGGTGCTGAAAGAGGTACCATTATTTTGCATGGAAATATGTAGTTTTTTTATTGTAGGCTGTCATTTTTAGGAATAACTCACTGAAATCTGTCCGAACAAGAGTCTATTAAACATCCCGGGTATGATAAAATTTGAAACAAAATCATAAATTATAATTTAATAAATAATCATAAAAAATAATAACATAATAATACATTTAATTCAATAATATAATCAAACCAAAAACACTGAAATTTGCAATAGAGCGCCAAGTTCGAACATTGCTGAGCAAAGTCGCAAAATCGTTTTCAGTTTCTGATGACGAATTTCACCACGAATCATTATCACTCAATTCTGCAAGTGGTTCTGATTTACTATCGCTGTTCTCTAGCTGGTCTAAAACCGCTTTTGACCTAAAGGGACACTTTTTGGACGCCATGGACGTTTCTCAGTTTCCAGGCAGAAAGAACAGACAAAATGCAGGCAGGGCACAGGACAAAGCACTAGGGAAAAAATGTATGTGAAATGGGTTGAAACAGCAATGTTTTACTATGTAAAAGTTGTTTGGAAAAAAATGACATTTTTAAAAATTTTAAAATTTCCCGCCACCGGCGGCGGCGGCGCCCGTACGTCTCGACGTCACAGGGACCGGAACACAGAAGCCGGATGCCGGCATCGGCCGGAGGAGATGGCCGGGGATGCTGCAGGGGACACATCGCGGGAGCGAAGGAGAAGGTAAGTGCTGCAGGGACTCCCTATGCAGCGCCGCATGGTAAGCCCGAGTGTAGCTCGGGGTTACCGCTTTTGGCACTGACATTTTACCCCGAGCTACACTCGGGAATACCACTAGGGAGGTTAAAAATACACTAATTAATTTTAGGGAGAACCGTAGGTATACTTCTGGCGCCGCTCGGGGCTGACAGCAGACAAAGATCATCCCGCCAGCAGAGAAAGGAAGATGGGAGCAGCATCCCAAGTAACTTCACAAACTTGACAATGTAGATGAGGATGAACGCCACTCAAACCGATCCCCAGGAGTCAGAGAGGAACAGAATGTAGTGAAGCTTCTGTGACCAAGTGCCCTGTGGGCAGGGTGAAATGCATCAGAGGACATGGCCAGAGAGACGGCTGAGGCCATCTCACTACATCCTGTTCCTCTCTGACTCCTGGGGACTGGTTTGAGTGGCGTTCATCCTCACCTACATTGGCAAGTTAATTTTAGGGCACACAAATGCAACATTACCCTTTTTTTTAGTACAATTTAAAAAATAATAAAATTGTGCACGCCAATGAAATGTCTACAAAGTGCAGTAGCCTATATTTTCCATAGGCAATGATTCAAAAGCCCCTACTAGTCACCAGTTCAGATTAATCAGTGAATAAAGGCCTAGAATTAATGTTCTCACTCCAGCATGCACAGAAATATGTAATTTGTGCAGCGCAAGGGACATTTGTGCATATGTGCCTCAACACATGCATTTACATTTGTACACACGTATGTGGGGGTCATACTTTTTTTTTGTCAATTTCAAGCGCTTGGATGTTACTTTATTTTTTTCTACTTTTTTTTTCTCTCTTAAAGAGAACCTATCACCAAAAAAAAAAGTTAAAAGACTCATTAGATATTAGATTGTAGGCTCTTATGGAGCAGAGCCCTCATTAACACCCTGTATTTTATTGTATTGAAACTGTACTGTCTCCCTTTTTATATCGTAAAGCGATGTGCAAACTGTTGACGATATAAATCCTGTATAATAGTATAATAATGATGTGTCATCTATCTTCTAATAAAGCTAATAGAGTGTAGATTGCACGCCATAAATAAAATAGCAGATAATGTATAAATAATCCCATCCAATTACTAGCAAAGTTGATTCCGGCCTCACTCTGTCTGCTGATACAATTCAATCTCCATACACAAGAAGAATATAGCACAATACAAGTCATGTCAGTGGTATTCAGTGGTCATCCTGTGTATGGAAATATCACCGTCTGTTATAATGGAATAGACAGACTAATATTGTCACCTATACATATATTTCTTATAAAATTCTAATTACTGGAGTTTTATAAAGTGACTTAATATAAATTATTCCAATAAAGAAAAAGAAGCTCCATTCATGTAGAGAACAGTTACCTTCATTCCTGGGGTAGAAATTCATTTTCTTCTGGTAACATTCTTCTTTTCTTCTACAGTTTGGATAATAATCACCTGACAGACAGTTCCTGCCCCCACCTGGCATCTGGAATAAGAAATAACCAGACACTGAGGACACTGAACCTGTCATACAACGTTCTGGAGGGTCCTAATTTCAGTGATCTGATGGCAGCTCTGACAACAAGCCAGATAGAGGATTTACAGTGAGTATAACAGGAGCAGGGGCGGACTGACCATTTGGAAACTCGGGCACTGCCCGAGGGGCCAGGGTCAGAAGGGGGCCCCATGAGATGCCCCTGGTACCTTTTCCATAGGCTTTTTTTGAGTTTGAGCAAGGACACAGGGGCCCCATGATCCACTATTGCCCGGGGGCCCCATGAATTGTCAGTCCGCCCCTGAACAAGACTGACTAAGACAATAATATTCTGGGACAGGTTGACATTTAACTACATAAAATGAAAAGATGAGAATATAATATAATATAAAAAAAAAAAAACACTCCTTTAACCACCTTCTGACCGTGCTATAGCCGAAAGATGGCTATAGCATGGTTCTCTAGTTCTGAGAGGGCTCCTATAGACGCAATCCCAGACCCCCCGTCCCCCTGCGCACCCTTGGGGCATGCATCGGGCGTGCTTTGTAATCTCTGTGTCTACAGATCAAGGTAAAAGGGCCAATCATAGCAGCCCTTTACCATGTAATCAGCTGTGTCCAATCACAGCTGATCCCATGTAAACAAAGGCTGGTCATCGGCATTTCCTTTGCTCACGCGCTTTCACTGTGTGAGGAAAGGAAAGCTGATAACTGGCAGTCCTGTGATAGCACACACATTCACACTATCAGTGCCCATCAGTGCAGCTTATTAATGCCGCCTCATCAGCGCACATCAGTGAAGAAGAAATATCACTAATTTGCTAAATTTTATAACAGAAACTAAGAAGACTTTTTTTTCCCAAAATTTTCAGCCTTTTTGCGTTTGTTTAGCAAACATTTAAAAACCCAGTGGTGATTAAATAGCACCAAAAGAAAGCTCGGTCTCATTTTTTTTTACAATTTCATATGGGTACAGTGTTGCATGATCGTGCAATTGTCATTCAAAGTACAACAGTGCTGCCCAGTACTGAAGTGGATAAATAGTCAATCCCTATATGGCCCATTCCTGGATCTTGTTACATTTTTATCAGCCATGAACTTGTGTTTTCTTAAAACCTTCCTAAAGTATGACTGTCAATTTAGTCCAGTTACTAATAAAAAGGTGAGATTATAGGAGGTCATACATTGAAGAATTTGATCCTTCTATAATGGTCAATTAGAGACTCCTGCAAACTTATTGTCACTCGACATGACCATCAGCTATTGAGTATCATCAGTTCTCCTATTACTATGCATCTGCAATTAAGTATCCAAAATCTCCCCATTATTTACTATGAGTACAGAGCTCTTACCAGCAGATATAGGTAGAATGTCAGATAAAAATCATCCCATCCAATCCCTAGCAATGCTGATTCCAGCCTGTGTGCTGATGCGATTCATGCTTCATACACAAGGAGATCATAGCACGATTTGAGTCATGTCAGTGGTATTCTGTAATAATCCTGTGCATAGAGATATCACCATTGAGATAATTTTTTCCTCAGCCTTTCCCTGCACAGGACAACAATCTAAGCATCAGAAGGCTGAGAGTGATGTGGAGTTTCATAATGTTGTGGGAGGGGGTCTACTGCACCAGTGCATTCTGGGTACCACTTTGCCCAAAGGTATGCTCCCCAATGCCCAGGACCAGGCGGAGGCTGTGGGCATACAGTGAGGAACAGAAGTATTTGAACACCCTGCGATTTTGCAAGTTCTGCCACTTAGAAATCGTGGAGGGGTCTGAAATTCACATTGTAGGTGCATTCCCACTCTGAGAGACAGAATTAAAAAAAAAAAATCAGGAAATTACATTGTATGGTTTTTAAAGAATTTATTTGTCTTGCACTGCTGAACATAAGTATTTGAACACCTGAGAAATCAGTGTTAATATTTGGTACAGAAGCCTTTGTTTGCAATTTCAGAGGTCAAACGTTTCCTGTAGTTCTTGACCAGGTTTGCACACACTGCAACAGGAATTTTGGCCCACTCCTCTACACAGATCTCCTCTAGATCTGTCAGGTTTCGGGGCTGTCGCTGTGCAACACAAAGTTTCAGCTCCCTCCAAAGATGTTCTATTGGATTTAGGTCTGGAGACTGGCTAGGCCACTCCAGAACCTTGATATGCTTCTTACTGAGCCACTCCTAGGTTATCCTGGCTGTGTGCTTCGGGTCGTTGTCATGTTGGAAGACCCACCCAGCCACGACCCATCATCAATGCTCTGACTGAGGGAGTTGTTGCTCAAAATCTCACAATAAATGGCCCCATTCATCCTCTCCTTAATACAATGCAGTCATCCTGTCCCCTTCGCAGAAAAGCACCCCCAAAGCATGATGTTACCACCCCCATGCTTCACAGTAGGGATGGTGTTCTTGGTAGCAACTCATCCTTTTTCCTCCAAACATGACGAGTGAAGTTTAGACCAAAAAGTTCTACTTTGGTCTCATCTGACCACATGACTTTCTCCCCATGCCTCCTCTGGATCATCCAAATGGTCATTGGCAAACTTCAGATAGGCCTGGACATGTGATGACTTGAGCAGGGAACCTTCCGGTCAATGCATGATTTGAAACCATGACGGCGTAGTGTTCTACCGACAGGGACCTTTGAAACTGTGGTCCCAGCTCTCTTCATATCATTGACCAGCTCCACCCTTGAAGTTCTGGGCTTATTCCTCACCTTTCTTATCAGTGATACCCCACGAGGTGAGATCTTGCATGGAGCCCTAGTCCGAGCGAGACTGACAGTTGTCTTTAGCGTCTTCCATTTTCTAACAATTGCTCCAACAGTTTATTTTCACCAAGCTGCTTGGCAATTGCCCCGTAGCCCTTTCCAGCCTTGTGGAGGTCCACAATTTTGTCTCTGGTGTCTTTTGACAGCTCTTTGGTCTTGCCCATGGTAGTAGTTGGCGTCTGACTGACTGTGGGGTGGACAGATGTCTTTAAAGAGCTCAGACAGGTGCTACCAAATTAGATTAATGAGTGTAGTAGAGGTGGACTTTTTAAAGGCACAATAACAGGTCTTTGAGAGCCAGAATTCTTGCTGTTTCAAATACTTATGTTCAGCAGTGCAAGACAAATAAATTCTTTAAAAATCATACAATGTGATTTCCTGAATTTTTTTTTTTAATTCTCTCAGAGTGGGAATGCACCTACAATGTGAATTTCAGACCCCTCTATGATTTCTAAGTGGGAGAACTTGCAAAATCGCAGGGTGTTCAAATAATTCTTTTTTTTTTATAATTTAAATATTTATTAATTTTCCATTTTAAATACATTTCATCAACACAATGTAGATATATATAAAAAATATATTCTATAATATTATAATATCCAACATTTCTACTTTATTTACTCTATACAACATTTCCCTCCCAGCTCCGCCCCCCCACCCCCAAATCCCCTCTGCCTATCCTACCTTTTCTCTGCATCTTCTTATATCAGCAAGTGAAGTTTTTCTGTTTTCTTTATTCTTTCCTATACTTCATATATAATCAAGCTTTTTCCCAGTTCTCCCATTTCCCATAATAAGCCTCCATCCTATCTTCTTGGATATGACACAACCTTTCCATCTTTTTGATCTGCTCAACTCTTTCAATCCAGTCCTCTTCCTTCGGTATCTCTATTCGCCGCCAGAACTTGGGTATCAGAGCTTTTGCAGCATTTATATAGTACCATATCCCTGATTTTTTATATTTATTTACTGTTATATCCATATTGTGCAAAATACATACTTCTGGGTCTAGATCTATATCTATTTCTGTCAATTTTCCTATCAAGTGGATTATTGTTTTCCAGAATATCTGGATTTTTGGGCATCCCCACCATATATGGTATATAGTGCCTACTTCTCCACATCCCCTCCAACACAGTGGTGAACTCTCTCCATATATCTTATTTTCTACATTTGGTGTAATGTGCCATCTTGTCAAACACTTATAGTTCATCTCTACTTCTCTCATAGAAACGTTCTCGTGAATCAATCTATACATTCTCCTCTGCTTTTCCTCATCTATCACAACTCCCATATCCATTTCCCATTTTGTTATATATGTTGGCTTTGTGTTTTGTGTCTAGTTCAGTGAGTATTTTATAAACTTTAGTAATCCCATGTTTCCCATCACCTTGTGTTCCCAATACCTTTTCGAACAAATTCCAATTATCTTTTGTCCTTAAAGGTTTTGGCAAACTTCCAACAAAACACCTCAATTGAAAATACCGCCATTCATCTAGTTTAGTGAAGATCTCTCCCTCTTTTTTCTTCAATTCACCAAATAATCCTATTTCATCTCCCACCAAAATATCTCTTAATTGCACCTTATCTTTTTTAAACCACCTCCCTCCTATTTCTTCTCTGCCTGGGGGAAAAACTCTGTGTTTTTTAGTGGAATCAGTGTTGAATTAAAAGTTCATTTCATACTTCTGTGTAAATTATCCCAAACCTTTAGAACATTCAAAGTGTATGTATTTACATTATCATTTAAACCCCTATACTGTGTTGGCACCCATATCATTCTTCCCAGGTCTATTCCACTGAGTTCATTCTCTATTCTCACCCAGCTTTTTTTTATAATTATATATCCAATCTATGGTTCTTGCCAATATTACCGCTTTGTAATATCTTTTAAAGTCTGGGAGCCCTAAACCACCTCTTTCTTTCCTCCTACTCAACAGTTCGTATGACAGTCTTGGTTTTTTATTCCTCCATATGTATTTTGTTATCAGTTTCTTAATTATTTTAAAAAAAATCTCTGGGAGTTTAATTGGGATCATTTGATATCTATATATAATTTTTGGTACTATTACCATTTTTACCAGATTAATACGGCCCATCCATGTCGGGGTTCCTCCCTCCAATCTTTTTAACTCGTCTCTAATCTCATTAATCAGTGAAATATAGTTTAATTTATATAGATGTTTGTGTGAGGCTGTAAGTTTTACTCCTAGATATTTTATATCTCTGTCTTTCCATTTAAAAGGGAATTCCTTTTGTATTTTTTCTTTTTCACTTTTTAAGATGTTTATATTTAGAATCTCCGTTTTTGTTGGATTTATCTTTAGGTTTGATAGTTCT